AGCCCATCTCTACAAGCTTTCCTCATTAAGGGAAGCCCACAGTGTTTTTGGTGCTGCTTAGTTTCAGCAGGGCTCCTCATGGGCAGGGATTTTCCTGCTTAGACACATTCGCAGTGCAGGATCTGTGGTCACTGTAAGCAGATTTCGCAAATGAACTGCATTCTGATACATCTAGCTGAGTTATCATTTCTTGACAAAGCTGTATTGCCTAGGATAGCCTCAGACCATCCTGCATATTTCTTAATGTCACTGATAACAGAAAAAGAAAGGCATGTAGGAAACTTCAAGCAATCTTGTTTTGAATTGCCGGAATAGAGGGATAGTACCCCCGTTCTCCATTCAGACTTAGGGTATATCTATATGGATGGAAACACAAACTCCCCTCTGTCTCTTCCCCTGCCCGGCTGGCTACGCTGCAATGCCAGCCACGAGCTGGGAAGCTCAGTTAGCGCAGCACTGAGCCCTGTGGTGATGCACAACATGTTAGCAGCTGCTGTACCTGAAACCCAGCTAGAAGTGCCTTATGTCTGGGCAGCTCGAGGAGGAAGCAGAGAAGATGGGGTTTGCCCGTGGTGGCGCCCATTGACTTTCCCAGCATTGGGTTTGCTCTCAGTGGAGGTGATGGTGCGGGAAAGCTTTGCAGCACTCTTTGGAATTTAAGCCCAATAGGGTCTAGTCCAACTTCCACTTTTGGAGCAGGATTATTATTATTCTTGTTATTGTTATTATTGTTGTTATTATTATGCCTCAGGGCAAGGAGGCATGGCACCGTTCTGCTTTCCTGGCAATATGCACCCCCTTGCTGCAGGGGTAACTGGGCAAGGGCAAGGGGCTGCTATAGGAAGACGGCCACTTTGAAGTAGCACTGCACTGCATTAGCAGAAGGGACAGACAGTCTAGGTCGCTTTAAATTACTTTTCTGCTATAGGCAACAAACCATAAAGGAGGAATGTTTTGGGGAATTAATAACCACAGCTGATAAATTAGATTAAAAAAATTTCCAAATATTTTGCAGAGTTTGCAGGAAGTAGGAAAAACAGCGAGAGAGAACAAGTCATAAACTATCATCTTTTTTAAGTGCTGAAGTTTGTGTGAAAGAGATTGCAGTTCTCTTTGGAGGAAAGACCTGTATTATGAATAGCTGATTCCTGCCTAAATCCCTTCTGCTCTTCAGACTGGAAAATGCAGCCGTGTAGCAGTATTTAGAATGGCAGGCATTTAAATCTCAGTTCTACTACTGGGATGCATCTAGTGAAACTTTGCTAAAACCAGTAATGGGTGCTTTTATACTAAAATTTTTAGACTCTTATAGTCGTCCTAGGCCCCATTCTCTGGTGCAAAACTGGGATTTTTCTTGCTCTGTGCTTCCAGATCTAACTACAGGGGTTTTTCTGTTTCTCCTGTTTCTGTGGCCACTCCTTAGAGGCAGGTGATGCACGTCTGTGCCCTTCACAGCCTCTCTGGTCAAGGAGGGACCAGGGAGGGGTCTCTTTTCACCCCGACAGCTGCACTCCTGAGTAAACCGCACGTGTGTATGTGCTTCTGGGGCAGGGAAGGGAGAATGTTTCAGAGGAGGCCCAGGTGAAGGCACCCAAGACCCTCTTGCACTTAGCCTTCTTCATGGGGTCAGAGCCCCCCAAGAGGATCAGGCTGTCTGAGGTGTTAG